TCGATGGTTTCCGTTGACTACAAACATGTTGAACGAAATGCGCTTTTCATTTCGCAGGTACGGTCAAGTTTTGATGATAATGTGCACTTGCACAGCAACGCACATTTGCGCGGGAAATCCACGATTTTGGCTACACACGCATAGGAGACAAGGGCGATTCAAAACAAAGCCAGACATTATCCTTTACCTTTGATAAAAAATCATGCTCATATGGGAATATTAACTCAGAGATCTATAAACATTACAAGTCTGCAACTTTTCTCACAGTTGTGGGTTGTGTAATTACACATGCACGCTAGTCTAAAACGAGTTACTCAAGGTCTACAGAAAGACCGAGGTAGACCTATTCGAGCTAAATGGGCTTTAGCGCGGCTTATTCACTTCGCTATTGGTCAGGTCAACGATCATTTGACCAATCATAAAGCGGCTAAGCGATTGCGCGGGAACGCGGTGTTTGACTACATACTGTATTTAACCGACACGCACCGCGTCCGCGTCGCTTACTTTATCTGCACGTCGACCTTCGTCCTGCTATAGACCGTTCATGCAAAACAATTCATATGTTTTGGACAGACAGATAAACTCTGCAAAATTTTAAATGGTTTTTTAGCCAAGGCTGCCGATGGCTCGTGATTATTACGTCTTACCGCAGCACACCAATGTGCTCGAAGACCGTGTTAAGACCGTAAACTCGATGTTAAAGTCATTTGCCGAGGCAGTATTGGAAGATGCATCGCCATACTTCGACATGATGAAAGCGGTAAAACAATATTTCGTTCTTACAAATGAATTTACCTGAAAATACAGGCAGCGAGGGATGTGGTCAAATTAGAAGTGCAGATTGCTATGGCATCTTGGCCCGATAGTGCAATGAGGTTCGTACATAATTCGTTTTTGAGTTTTCTCTCCATCTCTGACTTCATTTCCAGAAATTATGCCCAACAATACAATGCATACACTGTAGAAGCGCTTGAGAAGAGGTATCCATCGATAATCTGGGACAGCTATTTGAAAGCTTTGTTATCGTCTGTGACCGGATATGATATACGTAGCACAAATGTGGGTAGATTTTGAGAACTGCTATAGACTAGTCCTGGCCGAAAGTGGATCATGAAGGTAAACTCACGCAAACAT